CCCATATACTTGCTTCTATAAAGTCCTAATGGCTAAAATTGTTCTATAACTTTATTTTTAATGCTATTGGTGAGTTTCTTCCTATTCAAGTGAGTAAAATTATAATAAGTTATAATTTTATATTAATGAAATATTTAAACAAACTAAATTTGTAACTTTTAATATGCCTACTTTCAATATTTAAACATGGTAAAATTACATTAATATTCTGGGAAAAAAATAACCCTAGTCCTATAGTCCTATATAGCTACAGCACTTCAAGATGTCAAAGTGTGAACTTCATGCTTTCAGTCCACTGTCCAGAGAACATGAAAAGATCTTATCTAAATCTACAGGTTATTTTTTCAAGGAAAACCTAAAAAGCCTAAGAACTAAATATTTACCCCAGCTGAAAAGAAGGCTCTTCTTCCACATGTGAATAAAGCTTTGGGATGCACGCTCTGCAGAGGAGTAGGAAGTATTTGTATCTCATCTTGGAATCCCTCGGGTTATATCACTTTATCCCTAATATTCTGCAGACCATGTCAGGTGTGGTTAGACAGAAGCAAATTCCAGCAGAGCCAGTCTCCAGAGAGCACCAACTCAGAATCCACAGAGAGTCCTTCCTATGGTTTCTGTACAGACAACATCTGCTAGTGACTCCGTAACTCTAGCATATAGACACAAGTAGATCGGGATTGCTACTACTTAATATGCAGATGATTAAGGTCCCATCCATACCAGCAAAGCCTCACTATACACAGAAAATTGTAGAGAAAGAGGAAGAAAAAGAGGATCAGAGAGAGCCAAGTACATGGATGCATGTGCGTGTAAGTGATTCTCAGTCATGAAGTAAGATAATAGTTAACAAGGAAGGGTCCAGAGGTGAATAACTTCTCCAACATTTTGATTTATAAAAATATGTGTATCTATCCTTATACCATAGACTGAAACTGTAAGGATGAGGAAGACAGTCTCTGCCTTCATCTAGTCACATCCTGGTGGTTTCGTGAGCAAAGGAATTAATGCTCACTTGAGACCATAAATGTCACTATGGACACAAAGAATAAGATGATTATCTCTTAGGGGCTTTGATGAAGACTTCAAAGAGGAACTGACCCCAGGACCTTCCCGTTTGTCAGATGTGTGAGTTTAATTATTATTTTCCCTGAGCTTTGGATACCCCTGGATTTTAAACAGAGATGGTAACAGCACTGTCTAGTGAGACTGTGTGAGGAATAAGTAAGATAATGCCACAGAACACTAATATGGCTCCTAGCGTAGAATGAACTCTAAATAAACATTAGGTATCAATGTAAGTGTGTTAGTCACTTTTTCCATCACTGTGGCAAAATGTCTAACATAAACCAATTAAGGGAGGAAATATTTACTTGGGCTCATGGTTTTAGATGCTTTGGTCTGGTCCATCACTTGGGTCTGTTGTTTCTGAGCCATGATGAGGGAGAGCATCATGGAACAAACTGAGTAATGGAGCAAAGTCATTCACTTCATGGTGGCCAGGAAGCAGAAACAGTGAGGAAGGGGGCAGGGGCAAAAAAATATCCCTCAAGAACATGCTCCTAGTCATTTTAAGCCTCATATCCTAATAATCCCATCAAATTTTAACTCCATCAATGGATGAATCCACTGATAAAACTAGAGCCCTCCTAATCCAGTCACTCCCCCACCTCTAACATGCTGCACTGGGCTTTTGGGTGGGAAAACTTCGTATCAGCATTGTAAGTTATTTTTACCATCATTAATAATTATGTTATAAAGTAATATATTTTTGTACAGTGATAAAAAAGAGATGGAAAATTAAGTCAAAACCAGATTATTATTAAACTAATGTTTAGTTTTTTATTTCCTCTGTAATTTATAGGCTTTGGCTAATGGGATACTAGATTGTTATAGATATAAATTGGTGTATAATCAAAAAATTATATGAACATGGAAATAGATGTCTATGGTGACCGAAATGTGGGAAACACAGAAATGCTGTCTTCTCTTATATGCTCATGTGCATGACTCAAAGAATATCCACATCTTCCACATGTATTCGACCATGGAACACCAAATTATAAAACATTAATATTTCATGCCTACATCTACAAAATAGTCAGTGGAAAACACTCTGTAAGTAATAAAGAATCCTCCAGATATTTGACAGGAAGTAGAAACTTGATTTGTTCTGCCTTTTATGATGTTTAAAAGTGACATAGAGTCACTTTTAATTAAAGTATAAAATATTTAAAACATTAAAATGCAAAACCTGAGGTGAAATAAAATAAAGTTTATAAGTAATTAGTAAAGGCAGTGTTAAGAAGACTAACAGAATCAATAATTTAGTATTAATAAAACAATTCTTGCATACTATAAGTTAAGAATTAAGTGATAGGTACATATGCATATATACAAGACTTAGTTAAGCTTCTCAAAGTTCTATGAGGATAGCCCACAGGGTACCATAAGGTACTTATTTTATAAGTAAAAAATGAGAACTAAAAACATTAAATGAATTACCAAGTTCACATAGCCAGATAACAATACAAATACTACCCACATAACTATGTAGAAGTATCATCCATCAGCGTACTGCCTAACAACCTGTTGAGGAGAAGGCCTGAGAGGAAGATGTTGAGGAAACTCCAGGGATCCCAGCTCAGTAAAGTTGATGGGATTATCCTAATTTACCTTCCTAGAAAAACAACGCAAGAAGAAAAAATAGCTTGAATGGAAGTTCTGTGTCTCAGAGGCAATAGCCAGTTAGTAGGAGGATTTAGGTGTCTAGATCACATATTGTAGCCTGCCCAAAAAGAATTCTAGAGTAGAGACATGGATTTAGGGCTCAAAGTATAGGTGGCGGCTGAAGAAATAAGTGTGCATGAACTTTCATAGGAAAGCTTGAAGGAGAGGGTCAAGACTATAAATCCCAAGAGAATACTCAAATTCTGCTAATCTGACCATGAACAATGTATTCTACATTCAACATGGAGCTGTCAGGATCCAAATTAAAGAGTCAAGAGTGATCTGTGTCCTCCCGTCTCATCTATACCCTAGTGTCTAAGAGCAAAGGTGTGAGAAGTAAGTACCGTACATCAGCAGCTGGCTCGCCTCCATCATGTTAAACCATCACTGGTTGAAGTGGCCATTTCACTGGATCCTAGAGATTCATGTTCTGAGTTCAAGGAGGTAATCACACTTCCATTCCTTTCTCAAACATTTATTAAATGCCAGACACTTTTAGGATGAATGATACATGCTCTTCTGGTTTCAAGGAGTTTACAGTCAATTAAGGTTACAAATAAATGAACAACTTATTATAACTCATTGTGCACACTTAAGAGAATTAGGCATACAAAAATAGGAGGCTTGGCTTGCCTACAGAAAATGGGAAATAGTTCTCAAACAACACAGTTCTTGAATTGAAATTTAAAGAATGAGACAGTTTTCCAGATGGCTGAATGGCATGTATGGCTGTCTTCAAAACACCTGCCACTGTGGAAATGAAGGGAGAGTTACTTGACTATTTTTATTTGTATTGTTTTATATGTGCTTCTTTGTTTCTTTGTGGCAGAGTTTTGCTTTGTAGTTCAAGGGTCTTGAACTGACTATGTAGCCCAGGCTGATTTAATCCAAGATCAGTCCACCTACATCAGCCTCCTGAGTTCTCAGATTATAGGCATGTACTACCAGACCCAGCATACTGGGTTCTAGATAAACAATCAATACATATTTGGGAACTTAAAAGATCAGATACTCTTCATATATTAAACACAAAATAGGGTCTGGAGAGATGGCTCAGCAGTTAAGAGCACTGGCTGCTTTTCCAGATGACCTGGGTTCAGTTCCCAGCATCTACATGGCAGCTAACAACCATTTATAACTCCAGGACCAGGGGATCCAATGCCCCCTTCTGACCTACATAAGCATTGCACAATACGGGTGCATTTACATACATGCAGGCAATACACTCATATACATAAAATAAAAATAATAAATGAAATGTTACAAATAAATAAATACAAAATAATTATTCATTTGTTTATAACCTTGTTTCACATGAGATTCAATACCCTGTGTTTCTGAAGTGCATCTAGGTTACTGAGGAAATCAATTGCTCAAATCAGAAGAATGTACATTTAATTATCATTTATAGCTTCTAGTGATAAATATATGATGTAGGTACCAAACAGGAGAAAGAAATAAGGAAGATGAATTAAAAAACAAAAAGTGGGGAGGAGAGAAGGATAAAGACAGGAAAAGGCCTCTACGTGCAGGAAATCTTTGTGGTTCACAGCTAGCTTTCTCAATGAACTGGAGCATGACGATTCATGGGGACACATCAGCCCAAAGGGAGGAACAGCACCAAGTCTTAATGTCCAAGAGCCAATGGGCTACACCGTCCCGAATCTGCTTAGTCTTTACCCCATAGACAATGGGGTTGAGCATTGGTGGGCACCACCACATAAAGATTGACCAGCAGGATATGAATGTGTCAGGGAATGTTATGCCCAAAGCGGTGGGTTAGTAAAGTAAAGAAGGATGGAACATAAAACATGAGGATGACACAGAGGTGAGACCCACAAGTTCTGCGGGCCTTGTGCCGAGCATCCTGGGAGGACAAACGAAACACTGCTCAGAGAATCAACGAGTAGGACACAGCAATAAGGATCACATCCATGATGACCATGACAATGGGCACAGAGAAGCCATACCAGATGTTAACAGTGATGTCGGCACAGGCTAAGCGGGCCATGCCAATATGCTCACAGTAGGAATGAAGGGACAATGTTGGTGTGACAGAATGGCAGCCGCTTCAACAGGAAGATCACTGGAAAGGTGATACAGAAGCTTCGGATGACAATGGCCAGAGCAATCCTTCCCACAACCGGCCACATCAGAACTGTCATATATCTCAGTGGGGCACAGACGGCCACAAAGCGGTCAAAGGCCATGGCTAACAGGATGGCTGACTCCCCCACAAACATCGTGTGGACAAAGAAGACTTGGGTGACACAGGCATCAAAAGCAATGTCATGGGCATGGACCCAAAAGATGGCTAGGGCCTTAGGCACGGTGGTGGTAGACAGCAAGATGTCGGTGATGGCCAACATAGAGAGGAAGAAATACATGGGTTCGTGAAGGTTCCATTCTGTGATGACAGTCCCCAGGACTGCGGTGACATACATGAGGCAAAGGGGTATAGACAACCAGCTGTGATAATCCTCCAACCCAGGGATGCCAAGCAGCACAAAAACTGCGGGGTGGAAGATGGTGATGTTGCTGTGAACCATGATGCCCACTCGGTGCTGATGAGTCTCTACAAGTGACAGGAACAGAAAGTACCTCTAAGCATGTGCAGAGACCACAGAAGATAGAATGAATTTCCAGACCATTTTTCTAGAGAATGATCTCCTGGATGTAGGAATGGCTTCTGGCCCTGGATGTTTCAATTGCAATGAGCTTCTATGGAAGCTCCCTCAGGAGCCAAAAGAAGCTGCACCTGCCTTCAACCACGCTGCCTCCATGTCCTGACCTGCTCTACCTTTTTATCCTCTGTGCTGCCATTTCCATGCCCTCTCCCCAGGTTGTACTTGGTCCTTCCCCAGGATTTTGTTCTTTCTGTGTTTACCTACTTTTCTCTCTCTTATCTCTTTATTTGCCCAAATCTTATCCTTATAACATCTCCTTAAGACATGCCACTTTGTAATGTGTTCATATCGCCTTCCTGAAGACATATTATCTAAACTATCTTTAAACTTGATTATATTTAATCATATTACATTTATCTGCCTATTACCTTGAACATTTCTCAGTTTCTCAGGATGCTTGCCCTCATGACTCCCTGTGATGGGAGGCAACTAAGGGATATATTTGTTCACTCTGAACCAGATTCACAATTCCCCTGAAGGCAGTGAACAAAAGAACAGCCAATGAGACTGAAGGAGCAACTTTCACCACCCTCCTCATGAACTTGTGCTTCTTCAGAAAGTTGCATACAAGTGCCTCTTGAACAAGTCTAGATCTCCTTATCCACATAAGGCCTGAATTACCTGCCTCTTCCAGGGAAACTATTCCAAGAAGATGGAATCCATCTATTCTGCCCTCCTGCCCTTTACTAGCTCCACAACAGAGGCCTGCTTTCCTCTACTTTTTCCTTAACCCAAAAATCACCAAGCTTTCCTGCTGCTAAAGGGTGTTATAGAGCCCTTCTCATTTTAGCTTTCCAACCGTTCATGTATTATTTGCTCCTGAGGCTATACTGTCAGCTCTAGGAACAGGGAAAGGATTGGTGATTAGGAATCTAGAAAGAAACTGGAAGCAAAGACACCATGAGCGGGTTTGGTGGTGAATACCTGTAATTCCAGCACTTGAGAAGCTGAGATGGGACTGCCACAGATTTGAGGTCAGCCTAACCTACACAGTGAGTTCCAGGCAACCTGAGATAGAAAGTGAGAACTTGTCTCATACAACTAAACAAACAAACAAATAAATATGCTGTGAGAGAATAAAGATAACAAATAAAACCTACACAGATCTCCTGATAAAAGTATTCCAAGAGCCCTATAGAAGAAGCCAATCAAAAGAATGGAATCCCATTTGAGCGCATGCCCCTCCCTCTAAAAGTATACTGGGTCAAGGCATGATGAGGAAGAAACAATAAGACTCACCTGGATACAAGGAAGGGAACAGAGCCGGATTCCAACAGGTACTGAAAGGCCCCAGGTGGGCTAAGACTTGGCAATTTCCCAGCCAGTATATGTTAAACATTTGCTCAGGTAGAGGAGAAATTGAGCTTTGTTGGGAAAAGTTAAAAACGAAGAGAAAGAAAAAAAAAAGAAGAAATAAAGAGAGAGAGAAAAAGAAAGAAAGAAAGAAAGAAAGAAAGAAAGAAAGAAAGAAAGAAAGAAAGAAAGTCACCATTTGAATTGAATTGAGTCTATTTTCAAGTACCAGCCTCAAATTTATATAAACAAAATCTCCACCAGAAAACAAATTCATTTTTCTTAGAAGGAAATGTATTGTGCCTTTATTTTTACTATTCCTCTCAACTTCCACTCCACTAGTTATTAATTTGTCCTTTTTTCAACAAATCAGTATAATACTTGACATAAGTAAGACCTCACAAAAAAGCAATTCCTGCCCTCTGCTCACAACTGGAATATCCTATAACGACAACAGTGAGGTTCCAAAAGCCTGGGTAGCTGTTAATGAAGTTCTGGAAAGGATGCTACCAGCTACAAAGGACTGTCATTTCACTCAGTGGCTCCTGGCAGTTCCATCTCAGCCCTGCTGCCTCGCTGTTGAACACCATTCAAAAGATTCTAGGCTCACACAGGAAGAGGTCAGGAGAGAGAAGAAAAGAAACACACAGAGGCACATGCAGTCTCAAGGCAGCACTTCCCAGAGCTCTAAGGGGATATTCGTCAGAGTGATTTTTGACAAGAACCAGATTGATAGAGAGGAGTTCGGGAGCCATGGCAACAGCGGGAGGGAAGGGGGCATGGGTGACCGCACTGGGTCACAGAGCCAGGCCACCTGAGCTCATTTCCCAGCCCATTCTGACTACCTAGTTGATCTTGTAAGTTGCTTCACTTCTGCATGCCTCCATCCTTTCATGAGCGGTAATGATAAACTTCATGGGGTAATTATGAGAGCTAAAAGAATTAATTCATATAAAGTGCTGAGAAAATAGGCTGTTATTGTTATTTTACTATCATCATTTTTTTGGCCGTCATCAGATTATATTTTTCCCAAGGCAAAACAGCTGAACACCATATTAAAATCCTATTCTTCACCAAAATATGACCAAAAGAGACACTTTTCCCAGACAGAACGAGGAAGAAATAGAATGAAAAGAAAAGCACTAAAATAGAGAAGAGTTGCCTGCAAACAGGTCTCTCAGATGGGCCTGGTGTGTAAGAACCCAGACCTAGGCCCAGACCCAGATTTTGCCTGGCTCAGAACTACCCAGCAGGCTTCCTTCAAGTATTTTGAAAAATACTCATCTGTCTCAGCAGAAAGAAAGAGAAAATATCTGTAATTTATAGAAGGCATGACAGACAAGTGCAGCTTCAGCTCCAAGGAAGTGGAGTGGGAACCACAGGAGGACGGAGCCGGCTGGGGAACAGGCACCACGACTCTGTGGCCCCTGACCAGACTGTTCTCCCTTCTGCTTCTCGGTGCTGTGTTTTCTTCCTGTAAGTCCTGCCTGGCTATAGATTTTGCTAATGCCCATTCCTTCCTTATGGAGTTAACTAAAGGCCTACTATATCTTTACAGTTGGAGTTTGGAAGACTCTCTTAAGGCCATAACAATATATTAAAATGGACTCACAAACCCTAGCCTATGTAATTGCTAGATAGATATATGAGTTATTTTTTGCCTAGCTGTATTACTAAACATTTATTTATACACGTGTCAGTTTCACTTTGGCATCTTCCTCATAAATACATTTCGTATTCAAGCATTTTTTTCAACATTCAGACTCTAGCATGCACCAGCTCTACATACTGAAGCCAAACACCTAAAGCACAAAACAGCACAAGTTATAGAGAGTTCATTGTGAGCTACATGGCAAGAATCTTAGTTCTTTAACTTTTTTCATTGACATTTTAATTGTACGTATTAATGGAGTGCAATATAATATTACCATATATGGACACAGTGGAAATGGTTTACCTTTTAATTTATCTTTCACCCTTACTCACAGGCACTCAGAGGCTGTGTATCAAATGTTTACATAATCTAAAGCCAGCATTAGCTAGTCTACAGAGGCACCAAGAATCCTTCAGTTCACTGTCAGATCCTTAGCAAACTCATGACTTAAAATTAACTAGTAAATAAAATTCTTATCTATGTAGGGTATATATATGTGTGCTTATATTTAATGTATATATACATCATATATAAGTACATCTATCACTGTGGAATGTCTAAGATTAATTATCATGTGTATTATTTCACATACTTATCATTTTCAGTGATAAGAACACTTAAAGTCTACTTTCAGAGCAACTTTAACTAAACAACATGCCATTATTAACCATGGGCACTATGGTATAAAATAGATCTCTTGAATTTATTTCTCCTGCCTAACTGAAACTTACATACTCTGATTAATGTCTCTCTAATCCATGTACCATCCCACAGCCTCTGGCAATCAGCATGAGTCATGTTTCTTAATGAATAGATAGAGCAAAAATGCCCACCTACCCATTTGTTCAACTCTCTATAAATATTTTGCAAACTGTGTCCAAATGTGTGTGAACATATGGCAGTGTGTCACATGTGAATAGCATCCGCTGTGCTCTTGTGCTGTGACAATGTGGCGAACCCCAGCTCCATAAACAACCTTGATTTTTCCCTATGACAGTGTCTGTCCCACAAAATGCAAAACAGTAAACCAGAATTAAGAGGATTTTTCACATTTAAATAAACCTGACACGAGACTATGAAAGAAAAATGTCTTTAAGAACTCTTCTTACTTGAGCCAGCAACAGTTCAGCAGGTAAAAGCACTTGCCACACAAGCCTGACAGCCTGATTTTCATCTCCAGAACCCACAGCAGGAGAAAACTAGCTCCAGACACTTGTCCTCTGATCTCCACATGTGCACCATGGCATGCACACATACCACCACACTCTTATGTCCACACACAATAATAATGAAAATATATATTTTAACATTTTGTGACAGTGCCTCACTATGCAGCCCTGACTGGCCTAGAACTCACTATGTAGACCAGGCTGGCCTTGAACTCACAGAGATCTGCCTGCCTCTGCCTCCTCTGTACTGGGATTAAAGGTGTGTGCCACCATGCCTGCTTTAAAATGATTTTTTAAGATAATTCTCACTTCAAGACAGGAGTGGCACTAAGCAGAGAGCCTGGTGCATTATAGGGACTCAAGAAATATTTGAATGAATGAGCTATGGAGTTAGTAAATTCATCTGTATTCAGTATTTTCCTTGTTCCACCATCTCATTTTTTAATGCAACCTGAGCCAATTTTATTAAGGGTCCCACTGTTGTCCCCTCTCCTCCCACAGCCTGACCACAGTGCTCTTCAGGCTGCTGCCCATCTTTAATCAAGAACTGTCTGTTCACGCATATCCTCCTGGTACTCTGCCCTGGAATCTCGTTTCCATCTCTGCCAGTGCTCACCACCTACGTTCCACTGATCTCTCACCAGGGACCCAGGCTCCCCACCTCTGTTCCAACACAATCCCTCTTTTATGCTTTGCCTTATTTGACTCCTTGGCTTTCTGCCACATAGCCATTTCCTTTCCTTTTC